AGGAATTCCGAGGGATTCCTAAGAATTCCCAGGAATTCCCAAGGAATTCCGAAGGATTCCTTTGAATTCCTAAGGAGAAGTAGGAATTCCGAAGGATTCCTTTGAATTTCGAAGGATTCCTAGGAATTCCGAAAGATCCTTCGGAATTCCTAAGGATTCGTAGGAATTCCGAAGGATCCCTAGGAATTCCAAAGCATTCCTAGGAATTCCAAAGGATTCCTAGGAATTCCAAAGGATTCATTGGAATTTCCAGCGATTCATCGGAATTTCCAACGACGCCTTGGAATTCCTAAAGATCCCTAGCAATTCCTAAGGGTTCCTAGGAATTCCTAAGGAGTCCTGGGAATTCCGAAGGATTCTTCAAAATTCCTAAGGATTCTTTGGAATTCCTAAGGATTCCCTCCGGATTCTTAGGGATTCATCGGAATTCCTACGGATTCCGAGCAATTCCGAAGGCTCCCAGAGAATTCCGCAGGATTTCTAGGGATTCGAAGCCTTCTTAGGAATCCCAAATGATTCCTAGGAATTCCTAATGATTCTTAGGAAGTCTAGAGGATTCCTCTGAATCTCAAAGGATTTCTAGGAATTCCGAAGGATTCTTAGGAATTCCTAAGGATTCGTAGGAATTCCGAAGGGTCCCTAGGATTTCCTAAGGATTCCTAGGAATCCATTGGGATTCATCTGGATTCCTAAGTACTCCTTTGAATTCCTAAGGATTCTCAGGAATTCCAAAGGATCCATAGGATTTCCGAAGCATCCCTAGCAATTCCTAAGGATTCCTAGGAATTCCTAAGGACCCTTAGGAATTCCAAAGGATTCGTCGAAATTCCTATGGATTCCTTTAAGGATGATTGGGAATTCCTAAGGATTCTTGGGAATTCCTAAGAATTCCAGGAATCCTAGGAATTCTTAGGAATTCCTAGGATCACTAGGACTTCCTATGGCTTCCATCCACTTTTGAAGACTATGAGCGGTTCTGAGAGCCTTCCGGAGCCTGCGTGAGGTTCTGGGAGACTCTGAGAGTTTCTGAGACCTCCTGAGAGCCTCTGAGAGCCCCTGAGAGTTTCTGAGAGGTTCTGAGAGGTTCTGAGAGCCTCTGAGAGGTTTTGAGAGTTTCTGAGGGCCTCTGAGAGTTTCTCAGAGTTTCTGAAAGTTTCTGAGAGGTTCTGGGAGCCCCTGAGAGGTTCTGCTTCTGAGAGCCTTTGAGACGTTGTGATGCCCCTGAGAGCTTCTGAGACGTTCTGAGAGCCTCTGAGAGGTTCTGAGAGCCTCTGAGAGGTTCTGACAGTTTCTGAAAGATTCTGAGAGCCTCTGAGAGGTTCTGACAGCTTCTGAGAGGTTCTGAGAGCCTCCGAGAGGTTCTGACAGTTTCTGAGGGTTCTGAGAGCCTCCGAGAGGTTCTGACAGTTTCTGAGAGGTTCTGAGAGCCTCTGAGAGGTTCTGAGAGCATCTGAGAAGGTCTGAGCGCCTCTGAGAGATTCCCCTGAGGGGGGGCACAAGTAGGAGGAGGAAGGGAGGGGCATCAGGAGGAGGGGGGAGAGCAGCAGCAGCAAGAACACGATGAAGAGGGAGATAACTATGAGGAGGAGGAGGAAGAGGATAAGGTGGTGGTGGATGATGGGAAAGAGGAAGGCATGATGAGGAAAAGCAGGAGGAGGAGGAACATGAGGAGGAGGAGGAGAAGGACGACGACGAGGAGGGCGCGGCCGTTCACCTTCGGCGGCTCGGTTGGTTGGTTGTTTGGCTGGTGGCCGTATGGCCGCCCCGTTCACCCCAGCAGTGGGCTCGAGGATTGCGTTGGTTGGAATTCCGAGGGATTCCTAAGAATTCCCAGGAATTCCCAAGGATTCCTAGGAATACCTAAGGATTCCTAGGAATGCCTAAAGATTCCTAGAGGATTCCTAGGAATGCCTAAGGATTCCTAGGAGTTCCTAAGGATTCGTCGGTTCTCGTAAGGATTCCTAGGAGTTCCTAAGGATTCCCAGGAGTTCCGAACATATTCCTAGGAATGCCTAAGGATTCCTAGAAATTCCTAAGGATTTCTAGGAATGCCCAAGGATTCCTAGGAACCCCAAACGATTCTTAAGAATTCCGAAGGATTCATCCGAATTCCTATGGGTTCCTAAGAATCTTGGAGGATTCTTCGGAATTCTTCAGGATCCCTAGGAATGCCTAAGGATTCCCAGGAATTCCTAAGGATTCCCATGAATTCCTAAGGATTCCTAGGAATTCCTCGCTTCTCCGGTGCACACATGCTTTTTGCCGGCAGGGACCGTTGGTGCCAGAGAGGAGGTCCGCAGATTTTCATACAAATAGAATTCAATGGCGTTGTTGTGGTGTTGTGGGGGGGGGGTCGTTGTTGTGGTTGTTGCCGGGGGGGGGGTCCCGACGGGTCGGCGCTGGCCGCCCTTGCTTTGTTGTTGTTGTTGTTGTTGTTGAACATTATTAATTCTAAAGAATAATTATTGTTGGGACCCCTGGTGCACGGCCCCCCTGCGCCGCCTAGGCCGCAGCCACATTTTCATCATTTTCGTGAGGAAGCCTCAGGTAATACGATGTCATCAAGATCCGGTTGTTTTGTTGTAATCCGTTTTCCCTTGCAAAAAACACTATAAAATGACATTTCTTGTTCTAATATAATCAAATTTCAAGAATCCCTTGCAAAAAATAAGGTAAAGTGGACATTCGCGCGCGCAAGACGAAATCCTTCCAAAAGCTTAGTGTTCGGAGCGATTTTAACATAAAAACATCAAAAAACCAATGGTTTTTCAACAAAAAAATGTCAAAATCTCATCCCGCGCGCTCTTGCGGATTCGTAGGAAACCCAACACTTTTTAAACATTTCTGTCAAACGGGCTTTTGCGAGCAACTTTTTCGAACTTCTGCGACAACGGTTGCGCACCTGCCAGGGCCATCATCCCTGTCAAATAATACCATGCGGGACACATTCGTTTTTTCTTCGCGCGCGCACGCCGTCGTCGTCGGCCGCGGGGCCCTGAATAGTAGCCACGGTCGTCCGCATGCCACGAAGTGAAGTGTCCGAACGTCATAGGGCGGGAAGCTGGGTGTGGGTGGTGGCGAAGAGTCGTTTGGAAACTTGGTAGAGCTTGAACCGGCCCCCCCACAAAGTGGGGGTATTGCCCGCCTCCTATGAAAACCCTGGCACTGGTGAGAACGGAGTGTCCCCAGTCTTAAATGATTGTTGTTGTTGTTGTTGTTGCTGTTGTTGTTGTTGTTGTTGTTGTTGTTGTTGTGTTGTTGTTGTTGTTGTTGTTGTTGTTGTTGTTGTTGTTGTTGTTGTTGTTGTTGTTGTTGTTGTTGTTTTGGTAAACAAATTCTCACTCCGAAGAAATAGTTCTTGTTGATCCTCCCCTCCAGAAGCCGTTGTATCCGTTCAAGTGAAATGCCCCGTCAGTCGGCAGGTCGCGCGATGCGAGGCTCCGGAGTGGTGCTTGAGAATGGCGCGGGCTGGATCGCCCTCAGGCAGTCCAAGAGGATGCCGAGGGATCGGAGGCCTAGAGGTTAACACAAACACCAATATCGGCGGTGTGCCTCCAGCGAGAGAAGATGATCCCGATCTCGGCGACGGTGGTAATATTCGGACTTCTAGGTGGCCGAAAGTTTACCACCAACATCGAAATCTACGAATATCTTCCCCTGGTGGAGGCAACCCCGTGTGTTGGTGCTGCTGGTGCCCACTTTCAAGCCTCCAGAGGGAGGCGCTCGCGCACGAAGCGCACAGCGGCGAGGCGGTGTTCGTTTGCCTCCGCCGACGCGGCGGTGCACAGCTTGCGGGAGCAGCTGGAGCTAACGAGATGGAAAAGCAGCTGGTCGCGCTCAGAGGCGCCCTGGGCGACGACCCAGAGTTGGCAGAGCGCCTGGTGATGATCGTCCTCGTCCTCTTGGCGCGGTTGACGGGCAAGGAGTACGGCACTGTCGAGGTGGCTCGACGCAACACGGCATCGCACTACTTGCACGTGGAGGCCTGCACGCTGGCGCAGGCCACGCTCCCAGAGCTCAGTCGCATCCAGCGCAGCGCGCGGCGCCGAGCGAGGCGGCGAGGACGGGCGCATGGCGAGCTTGCGATTCCGACATTGGGCGGCGACGCTTCCATTTTCGTGCCGTCCGTGGACACGCGCAGTTGTGGAGCAGTGGCCGTTTCGTCATGCTCGTTCGTATCTGCACCGCAGGCCACGGGCAAGTCGGTCAGCCAGGCCGCGGCTGCCAATGCTGAGGCTAGGGATGAAGCGGGTGATCAGCAGATCAAGGATGCTCTTCTCGATCTCCCCAGTCCTCTCGGTTGAAGCGTAGACCGGAGTTCAGCTCCCCTCTGATGGGGTGCCCCCCTCACCCCCTCAAGAGAACGGCTTTGTGGGTGCGCAGGCGGATGCGGATGGCGGCGCCGCTGCTGGGCCGCTGCGTGGTGGCTGCGTGCGCCGTGTCCTCAGGCTCGCGGCCTTTGGCGGCAGCAGGGAGGTTGCGGCTCACAGGGCTCGCGGTGCAGTGGCCAGCGGCAGCGTCGGGGCAGCCGCGACAGCGGCCCTGACAGCCATGGCAGCGATCGAATCGCAGCCCGCTGCAATGTCCATCTTCGCATATGCTGCTTCGTCAAGTTCGGAGGCTGCCGTCCCAGCATCCGACCCTGATAGCAGAGGGTGCTGTGTGGAACCCCTCACTCTCCACCTTCTGGCTCTTCGTCTTGGCGCTCGGCACCGAGGTCGTGGTCTACCTAGGGCTCAGGGGTGGCGTGCACATCCGTTCTGACTTTCTCAGTGGTCCCAGTCCGATTCCGATTCCCATTCCCTCCCTCCCTTCCTTCCGCCCTCGCTCTTCTTTCCTTCCTCCTCTGTGTGCCTTCTGTCTTTTCTCCCTCCTCCCTCCGTTCCACTCCATCCTTTCTCCCTCCTCCTTTCTTCTCTACTCCCTCTTCACTCCCTCCCAGTTCTTGGTCGCAGCGCTCCTCTCGAGCCACTTGGGCGCGTGCGGTCGGTGGGACCGAGGTTCCAGCGGGCGGAGGCCATCCTGCTGGACAACAATGAGCTGGACGAGGCGCTTGCCATGTACCAGGACGCGAGCGTCGCATCACTTCGGTTCTCGATCGCTGAGCGGGTGTATTTACCTCGCATCGGTGCGAAGAACGACCGAGGCGTCATGCCCTCCATCCCTGGAGGGGGATGATCATCAGCCACACCCTACGGATCACTGGGCGGGTCAGGCTCCTTGGCCAAACCTCCCGACTCACGCAGGTCACCCGCAGAGGCGTGAAGATAACCACAGTTCGGGCGGCGCGGGTCGCGAAGTTGGGCGATTTGGGCGCACTCTCTGGGCTCCGGGGGGGAGCTCGGTGACCCTTCGGCTGCGACGGGGGAGGGGCGAGACACTCCCCGTTCGGGAAAAAGGGAGTTGGAAGAGGACGCGCGCTAAACCACCGCCCCAAAATGCTAGTTGGATTTTGGCACGCTTGTCGTTACATCATGAGATTCCACGGCGCTCGATGCCGTTCTGGGACCCGTTGAGAGTTTGGAGCCGTCTTGGACCTTCTGGGGGTATTTCTTGGGGTGTCTAGGACGTGGCCTTCGGAAGGTGTCTTGGATGGCCTGAAGGGCTCCCGTGACCCCGTGCGGAGCCGCTTTTGGCCCAGTTGCTGCGAAGACTTGACTGTGACTGTTCAATCCGGAAAGAGACCAAGCCAACGAGGTAGCTGAGGATGATGGCCACCAGCTCCTTGTCAAAGAACGCGATCACCTTGGGGCGGGAATGACGTAATCCATAGCGATGGCTATAGCCGAACCCAGTGGAAACCAAGCCAACGATGAAGCGTTTTGGGGCGGACAGAGAAACACGCCATAATCATTCAACAACCCAATGTGAGTAGAGCACTTGTTTTGTTCCTTTTGGAAGCCATCGGCATGCAGGTACGAGCGTTTTGACATTCATGAGGGTAGCGACGGGAGGTTGCCAATCATTCAGACTCAGATGTTTCCCATCCGCGAACCTGGTCTGCGATCCTTTCGAAGCCGTCTGAAAACAGCTTCGGGCAATATCTACTGGGCGTGGCGAAGGACCGAAGCGCTCGGACAAACTTCGAGGACCCCCAAGAAGGACTTGACGATCCGTGACCAGCACCCCTGCGAATTCCATTTAGGGACAGCCCAGAGGTGGCCTCGCGTGCCCGCACAGGAAGAGGTTTTTTTTGAGCAGGTAATGTCAACCTCAGGCAACAATGAATTTCCAACCATCCTGTGTTGAGTTGAGTCCTCGTTTTGAATCAGCGGCGCCAGGCGGCTTCCTTCCCTCCCTCCCTGCTCCTCGCCCTCCTCCTCCAATCCCTGTCTTCTGCCATCCATCTGTCTCTGTTTCGGCACACCCCTCACACGTTTCTTGGCTCTATAGGGAGCTCCACCTGAGGCCGCAGTGGTGGCGTTCGTATGCCGCCGCCACTTCACTTTGACACACCCCTCAACCCATAGGGAGCTCCACCTAAGGTCCCAGTGGCTACATTCGCATGCTGCCGCCACCCCACTTTGGCGCACCCCTCGCACGTTTCGTGGCCCCACATGGCGCTCCACTCCACCGAAGGCCCCACTGGGTTGCGATCGTTTGCCGCCGCCACCCCACTTGGCGCACCCCTCAGACATTTCGTGGCCCCATAAGGCGCTCCTCCGTTGGCCCCAGTGGCTGCGAACGCATGCTGCCGCCACCCCACTTTGGCGCACCCCTCGCACGTTTCGTGGCCCCGTCAGGGGGCTCCACCGAAGGCCCCAGTGGGTTGCGTTCGCATGCCTCCGCCACCCCACTTTGGCGCAGCCCTCAGACGCTTCGTGGGCCCATAGGGAGCTCCACCTAAGGCCCTAGTGGTTGAGTTTGCATGCCTTCTCTAGACCATGTCGGCACACCCCTCAGACGTTTCGAGGGCCCATGGGGTACTCCACCGAAGGCCGCAGCAGCTGCGTTCGCATGCCTTTTTCAGATCATTTTGGCACACCATTCACACGCTTCGTGGTCCCTTAGGGAGCTCACCTGAGGCCCCAGTGGCAGGAATCGCATGCGTGACCGCGCACATCTTGGTACACCCTGTGCACGTGGCCCCATAGGAAGCTCCACCTAAGGCCCCATTGACAGGAATCGCATGCGTGTCATTGTTCACCATTCCAGCTGGCAGCACGATGTTTGAAAGGGGCTCGGCAGACTTGGGTTCTTGCCTGGCACGTGTTCTGGCGTGAAGGATGGAGGCTGTTGTGGTCCGCCACAAACATATAGACAGACACCCTCCAATGGATTGTTCCTGGGCCTCAGGGGGAGGATTGCGGTGCATACATCACCACTGAGAGCCAGCGATTTTATACACCGCCGTCCACCCTAAAGCTGCATGCAACACTCGTCGGAGGATGTGTGTATAGATATAGATTCGTGGCGTATGCGGGGGGGAGGTATCCAGCATGCGTGTTGAGCACCAGCCTTGGCGCGCGGCTGGTGGCGCGGCTCGGCCTGGGACCCCAGCTCTGCGGGGCGCGGGGGCTCCGGAGCGCCATCTGAGCCCCTGGCAGCGGGCGAAGAGGAGAGATAGGATGAGGATGAGCATGAGGATGGGGATGGGGATGGGGATGAGGATGAGGATGAGGAGGAGGAGGAGGAGGAGGGAGGAGGAGGAGGAGGAGGAGGAGGAGGAGGAGGAGGAGGAGGAGGAGGAGGAGGGGGAGGAGTGGGATCCAGACGCGCTCGCGTCGTGAGCAAAATCGTGACGGGAAGTATTTGGCCGTTTTCGGCCTCAAAGGGGCTCTCGTCGGGCCTCGGGGCCGTCAAGAAAGATTTGGGGTGAAAACTGTCCTTGGGGAAAGGGTCGGCATCTCTGGAGACCGCGTATTGCGATAAGCAGGACGTCGTTCATGTCTTCAAGCTTAAATGGTACCTAAACCTACCTTCCGGGATGAGGCGGCTGTCAGAAAAATACTGGAAACTGCTGTGGCCGAGAGGAGGTTCAGAATCGAGCAGCTGGCTGACAGTAGACCACATCAGGAAGGTTGAAGGTAGCAGAAACCAGATGCCACTAGCTGAAACTGTGGAGAGCAACAGTACTGATCCTTATACTTGCAGTGGCAGGGGGAGGCGTGTGGAGGAGCATGATGAGGGGGAGGATGAGGAGGAGGATGAGGAGGAGGAGGAAGTCGGGGACGAGGACGACGACAAAGACAAGGACGGGGAAGAGGGGGACGACGAGGACGCGGAGGACGAGAAGGAGGAGGAGGAGGGGGAGGAGAAGGAGGAGGAGGAGGAAGAGGAGGAGGAGGAGGAGGAGGAGGACGAGGAGGAGGAGGGGGAGGAGGAGGAGGAGGAGGAGGAGGAGGAGGAGGAGAGGGGTGGTGGAGAAGGAGAAGCCGTGGTAGGAAGAGGAGGTGGGAGGGGAGGATGAGAGGGAGTAGCGGGAAGAGGAGGGAAGGAGGGAGCGATGTGTGATATTTGATTTCTTCGTTTGCTGCTTCCCACACCACAGTTTGCTTCACGGTTTGTTGCCATGCTTTTGAGTACGTTCTTTGTTTCGCCGTCTTGCTGCTTCCTCACAGATCGCACGGCAGCGTATCTCAGACTAGTATACGGTCAGCGCGAAGCAGGCATGACGCGATGAAGCCTGACTGACTGTCCTTACCAGGTTCGTGGATACCTCATGCTTGGATCTCATTCATCGGGGACCGTCAACGACCTGAGAGCACTCCGACACTTGCCAGAGGCACGGCGGCGCCGGCAGTGTGCGCCCCCGTCCTGGGCCCAGGGTAGACCCAGCCAGGATCCGTTGCAGATGGATCGTCGGGCTAGATGTTCGTTTTGGGGACACTCCTGGAACCCTCCTGGGATCTGTTTGATTTTAGTTCGATTCAAACTCAGCTCTAGGTTGACTAGCTCGACACAAGTTCGACTTAAGTCGATCGACGTTCGACGCAGCATCGTTGCATGAGTGGAGCGAGGGTCCATGAAGATCCCTAGAACGAGCATGTAAGTTGGGCATCCTCCAGTTCTCGCTGGCTGCCCTGCTGGTTTCCCCGTTACTTTTCTCGTCCCTGGGCAGCCCCTTCTGCTCGTGCCTTCGGAGGAACTGCACAAGTACGACGAGTCCATTCGCCTAGCCGAGCGGAAGAACCACCCGAAGGCCGGCAGTGGGATGGCGAGGCCTGCAGAGGGAGGGGAAATCTTGAATCCTCCCGACGGGCAGCCGGTGCCGATACGAAGGCAGGCCAGAGCTCCGTTCGCCGCGTCTCAGTCTGGCCCCCGGGACTTCGAGGCATGCCGAGCCTGTCCACGAGGCTCCCGACCTCCACCTGCTTCCGATGGGTAGAGGAGGATCACGAGGAGGAGGAGGACAAGGAGGAGGAGGAGGAGGAACAGGAGGATGAGAGGGAGGCAAGGGGTAGGGACAGGCACGCAAGTCCATCCCAAGCTGATTTGGAACGTAGATGTCAACGATCATGTCATGCAGGCTTGGCGCCTGGTTGCAGATGGGGGCGCAGTTGGCCTTCTAGGATGTGGCCCCGTGGGTCTGCCGCAGTTCTGGCAAACCATTCGGGAAGAGGACCCAGGCAGAGGCCTGAGGCGTCTCTGCAGCCCTGCAATCAATCAGTTGAATCCACCTTGCACCGATCCACCCGTTTCCACAGTCGACACAGTCACATCATGAAGTGACCAGCATTTTGAAAAGCGCGCTGCCCGTTGTGTATCGAAGCACGTGTGGGGCGTAGGCCACGCCGCACGCCGAAGCCGTTTGACGCTGCGCGATGCTGTGAGTAGATTCACATTTGGCGCTTTGCCTGGCAACTGACCCTGAGGTCTGCGCCTCAGCAGGCAATGACCGCTAGGCCCAGGGCCATCCTGGGCCCCAGCAGGGTGTACGCCATCTTAGGCACGGTGGTGGTGCCTTGTACGGGACATCTGCCCAATGACGTCTCCGCCGGCCATAAGGTGGGGCACCTCAAGGTCACCTACCTGCAGTGGCTGATGTCCACCCAGCAGGACCCGCGCGGGCAGCGGGCAAGCCGCCTACGACCGCCCTCTCTTGCGGGGCCTGTCCCTGGCAGGGCGCCGCCCCAGACGAGGGGATCTCTCGGCAGCCTCGCGTAGCCTCGGGGTTGCCAGCGCTGATGCCTGCGGCAGGTTCGCGTCGAGTCGGCGCGGCGACGACCCCAGCGCGGGCGTCCACGGTTGAACGCTCTCAGTGGCCCGGAATCACCCGACGTCGAACGGTCTGCGCCTGATCGGAAGGCCGTGATCATTCAAGGTTGAGTTATCCACGCGCTGCCATAAACCGACCCAAGGGCCTAGGGTCGTCACGGCACGAATCTGCCGTAGTTTTCTTCGGGGGCGAGAAGCTAATCGCGCGTCGCGCGTCGCGGTCTGGGCTGCAACGGTGCCCCTCTGCAGGGCAGCCTCGCAAGGGCGCAAGCATGACCGCGCGTCGTGGGGCGCGGCGCGCGAAGTTGGGTGATTCGGGATGCATGCAATATACCTGGGGCTAAATCCACGAGTTAGAGTGATGGGGCCCGCATGGTCCTACTCCCTGCGCGCGTTGCTGAATCGATGGCCCAGCGAGGCTACACATGGGGGCCACGCATGAGGACTACACTTGGGGGCTACACATGGGGGGATACACTTCGGGGCTACGCATGGGGGAATACATTTGGGGGCTATCCTGTGGGGCTACATGGGGTAAGCTTGGAGCCTACACATGGGGGCTACACTTGGAGGCTACACATGGAGCTACACTTGGAGGCGACAGTTGGAGGGTACACTTGAGGGCTAAACTTGGAGGCTACACATGGGGGCGACACTTTGGGCCTACACAGGGGTGCTACACTTGGAGCGTGCAATTGGGAGCGATCTTTGGGGGCTACACATGGGGGGTTCACTTGGAGGCTACACTTGGGTGCGTTCGCCCGCGCCGCCACCCCCTCACTATTATCCGCAAGTGTGGCGTGCTACGTACACACATTTATACTTTTTGAAAGCGCTGCCGCTTGCTTCGCGCATCGGCGCCATGCCGCCCGTCCGCAGCGCCCTCGACGGCGCTCATTATCTACAGGCCGTGTCGAGTCCTGTCATGTGCGTGGGGAGTCGCGGCGCACGCGTTGCCGAGCAATGTGTCTGAGAATTGTGTGTGTGTGTGTGAGTGTGTGTGTGTCGCCCCCCGTGGGTCCCCCCCGCTCACCTGTCTGCCCTCTTTTGCTGGCCAATCTGCGACAAGAGCCCCGCCTCGCTGGGTCAAGCCGTCCCAGCGCACCGCACACCAGGCAGGTGCTCTGGCCGTGGTCGCTGCACGTTCAAAAGTGACTCCTGCGCCCTCCTAGCCCAGCTCTGGGCCCAGGGTGCCCCCCCGCTGGGGGCTGTGGTTTTCGCGCTGCCGTTCAGGGACCCCCCCTCTGCTCTGCCACCGAATGCCGACACGCGCTCTGCAGTCCACGCTTGCAGTGTCGGGGCTGCTGCGCCATCGCGTGGAACCTCCCACCCTCGGATGTCTCCGTCATCCTGCTCCTTTGCCTGACCTGGTCGCGGTGCTATGGTGGGCGTCCGTTTCGTTCCCCCATAGCCCCCCAGATGGCATTGGAGGCTAGTGCCCCTGTGGGCTCCCATCCCGCTTCACTCCTCGCGTGCGGGCTGGTGGACCACGCGCATCTTGCGCGCATACCGCGGTGCGGCCCATGCTGGAGGGCTGACCCCTTGGCCCTCGGTCTGACATGGCTGCAGCGACATCCCCCCTCGCTCTTTGCAGACCGAGCGATCCGTCGGGTGGCTCGCTACGTGACCTGGCTATCATATGATGCTTGTCTCACCGTCTTCCTTTCCTGATCGCACGGTGCCACGTCCGTCCCTCGGGGACCGCTCCGGTTATCGGAGCAGACGTGCCGAGCCCCCCCGCGGCCCCTAAACTGCCACTGCGGGCCCAAAAGGTGCACGCCTCTTCACCCTACGTTTACTGCCCCCCAGTCAACGAACACCCGAGCCCTGTCCCGTCCTGCCCCCCCTCCCTGCAGGAGGAGAAGGCCGGTGCGCTCCAAGAGCAGGAGGGCGACTACGTCAGGGCGATCGAGCTCTACCTGAGGGGCGGCATGGCCGCGAAGGCCGCCTCCGTGGTCCAGCGGAACAACGGCAGCTACTCGCAGGAGCTTCTGCAGAAGGCGGGGGTCCTCGACCGCCGTTGCGCTGCAGGGGGAGCGCTGCGTGCGCGGGCGTTTTTTTTTTTTTTTTTTTTTTTTTTTTTTTTTTTGTTGTTGTTGTTGTTGTTGTTGTTGTTGCTGTTGTTGTTGTTGCTGTTGTTGCTGTTGTTGTTGTTGTTGTTGTTGTTGTTGTTGTTGTTGTTGTTGTTGTTCTTCCCCGCCCCCGTTCTGCCCCTCCTCCTTTGCTTACCACGTATCACTTTTGCATTTCTGTCTTGTCCGCTCCCCCTTCCCTCCCCCCCTTTCCCCCCCCCCCATTCCCTACCTCCCCTCCCCTTCCCCTCCCCGTCCCCTCCCTGGACACCCCCTCCCCATTCCTCCCTCGTCCCTCTCCTCTTGCGCCGTCGTGGCCTGACCCCCTCTCTCTCTCTCCCTCCCTCCCCGTTCCCTCCGCGTCCCTCTCCGTTCTCTCGCCTCCCCTCCCTCCCGCTTCCCCTCCCTCTCCGTCTCTCCCTGTCCCCGTTCCCTCCACAGTTCCCTCCTCTCTCCCCCGAAATGGCCGGAGAGGGGCCCGCCCCCCTCCGCGTAGTCTGTTTTTACACACAGGATCTCAAATTTGGTATGTCATATGTTTTAAAGTCGGATCGTTCTTTGGCGTCTCTGATACTGGTGCTGCCGCTGCAGCGTTGGCCCCATTTTAGGATCGGCGCTTTACGCCCAGCGTTCAGAGCGGCGCTCTCGCCCCAACGTGGGCCTTTTCTGGATCCGAGTCTTTCTTCATCGTTGTTGCCCCCTCCTTTCCCCTCCTCCACCTTCCCCAGATCCTCCTGCTCCTCCCGTTCCTTCTGCTCCGGCTTCTGCTGCTGCTGTTCGTCTTCGTCCTCATCCTTTCTCATCCTTCATCCCCCCGCAGGCGGAACGGACCCCCAGTCAAGGTCGTGTTCTATTCCCTTCGCCCTTACCCAGAGGAGGTGCCGAGCCAGGCGCCCATGTCGGGTGTTGCTAGAAGTGATCCTGGCCCAGGGTGTCCCCAGCTTTTTGCGCCATTTTGGGGCTCCTGGGGCCCTCTGGGCCTCGTGAGGGGTGTTCTGGAGGCCACCTGGGCCTCCCCTGGCATCCCGGGGCCACCTTGGGCCGGGGACACCTTTAGCAACACCCGACCTGGCGCTCTGGCATGACCCTACGCCCGCCGCTGGGACTTACCAGCCGCGCCCATCGCAGAGGCCAGGGTGGTCTCCGACCAGACCAGGAGCCAGGAGAGGCGCGAGGCCAGAAGGCCCCCACACAGGCCGACTCGCCCTGGATACATGTCTTGCATAGTTTTTCGGAAGGTCGTCGGTCAGGGCTTTGGATCAGAATATCGGCTCGGCGTCACCCTCACCATACTTGTACTATGTGTGCGTCGGCCTCCCAGGGGCGACGCGCGCGCTCAGAAGTCTTGCAGTACATGCTCGTGGCGGGCGCTTTCTGGCCAAGCTGCCTGGGTAACGATATCCTAGAATATACTCGTACTACATGTTCGGCTCGGACACACACCTGCGTCCCATGGGCGCTCGTCGGACCCGATGCGCCGATTGGGGCCCTCCAGAACTACCTAGCTGTGGGCAGCACTGACTCCTGGGAGGTTTCGGGGGTTGTCTTGGGCTTGGGCCAGATGGGCCCTGGGCGCCTGGCACGGCGCACCTACTCAGGGCTTCGCTCTTCGGAAGCCGATCGCGTCCAACGTTTTCGAACCCTGGGAGGCTCACGCAGGACGCCCCGGAAGCACGGGCAAGATGTGTGTGCATACCCATTGTGTCTAGGATGTTTGGAGAAGGAGCGCCCAAAGCCCGAGGCAAACTGGATATACAGTCGCACGCATATTTATACATATACACACACATACAAGGCTGCATTGGCGCTTCCCGCCATGCACCTTGTTCCTTGAAGCTTTGGAATGGTTGGCCCGTGGCGCCATCCTTTTTTCCATTTTAGCCGCGGTCCGCTGGTTCGTACTTCGGAGAAGCGCAGGAAGAGCAGAAAGGGGGGCAATCAACCTGGGACGGGCCAAAACTGCGAGTTGGAGGCCGCGGGCGCATGGAATGGCGCATATGAGTGGGGGCCGCGCGGGAAACAGCTGGAATACCGGGTTCGCAACCGAATTTCCGGAAAATTTCGTTGAGCATAATGCGGCTATTCTTCAGGGAATATCAGATGAAGGGGGCGCGGGGCGGCGGAGTGGTGCGATTTCGAGGGCGGCGGGTTTGACGGGCAGGGTGTTGGTCGGCTTGGCTCTTATGAGCCGTCGGGACCCCCTTTTGAGGGCCGCTGGGCCGCCTTGGGGCGCTGAAACCCTTCGAGTGGGTTCGCGGGGGTTCTCCCGGACCCTTGTGGAGCGGTCTGACGGTTGCTGTTGTGGAGCCGTTGCGCCCTCCTGCATCCGCTTGAGCAGCGCTCGCTTGCTCCATTTACGGAGGAGCGGATGAGGAGGCGGAGGAGGAGGAGGAGGAGGAGGAGGAGGAGGAGGAAGAAGAGGATAAAGAGGAGGAGGAGGAGGAGGACGAGGAGGAGGAGGAGGAGGACGAGGAGGAGGAGGAGGAGGTTTTGGGAGCTTCTTGGGCGGTCCGGGAGCGTCGGAAACCCGAAAAAACGAGGACGCTAAAAACATTGAAAACTAATTGAAATTCAATGATTTTGTTCTCTCGGGCCCCCTTTGAGAACGGTCTCGGGGCTCTCGCGGAGGGTCTTCAAGGCTACCCGGGTGCTATCCTGGACTGTCTTGGGTGTCTCTGTGGGCTTGCGCCGACCGATTTGGCATTGCCGCCCGCCTGCGTGCACGCCTTGGAAAGGATTTTCGCCCGCCCCCGTGGCACGAGTCCGGGGGGTCCCGTTTCGGGGGGGGGATTTCAGCACCCCCGGAATTATAAAAATACAGAAAAGGGAATATGTAGATGTATATATGTCGGCGGTGCCCGGTGCGGAGCGACCCCCCCCCCCGGTAATCTCTCCTGGGGGGTTTCGAGCTGGCGCCATTCCCGGTGCGAGCCTGCACGAAACCCCCCGGTAAACACGACCTCCTCTGGTAGGCTGCACGAAACCCCCCGGTAAGGACGCAACCCCTCCGTAAGCGGCGCGCTCCCGGCACGCGCGAACCCCAGCCCCGACGCGCGAATCTTACCAGGACTGAGCAGGAGGAGGAACTGGCATTCCTGTTGTTCGCACTGCTGGGCTCGTGGCCACAATACGAGAGGCTGCGGCGCAACTCGCATGCTTGTGGCCCCAATCTGCATTACAAAGGACGAGGAGGAGGAGGACGAGGAGGAGGAGGAGGAGAGGAGGAGGAGGAGGAGGAGGAAGAGGAGGAGGAGCAGGAGGAGCAGGAGGAGGAGAGGAGGAGGAGGAGGAAGAAGAGGAGGAAGGCGAAACAAAGGCGAGCAGACGCGAATAGAGAACACAAGGCGAGCACACGCCACACTTCGACAGGGAGCCACCCTTCCCAACCGCCCCCCTGCCCTCCCCCAACCCAGCCCCCACTCCCACCCCCCCCACACCCGCACCGGGTGCCCACACCCGCACCGGGTGCCGCCAACGGCTTAGAACACCCCCCCCTTGCCGCTTTACCGGGGGGGTTCGTGCAGCCCGCACCGGGTGCCGCCAGCGGCTTAGAACACCCCCCCCTTGCCGCTTTACCGGGGGGGTTCGTGCAGGCCGCATTGGGTCCTCCCCTGTCGCTTTACCGGGGGGGGTCGTGCAGGCCGCACTGCGTCTACCTGGGCTCCCCCCCCCCCCCCCTGTGGGTGTGGGGGGGGTTGGAGTGGGGGGTGGGTTGGGGGGGGGGGTTGGCGGTGCGCCGTGGCACGAACCCCCCCCCAGCACTACCGGGGGGTTTCGTGCACTACCGGGAGGTTTCGTGCAGCCCGCACTGGGTGCCGCCAGCGGCTTAGAACACCCCCCCTTTGCCGCTTTACCGGGGGGTTCGTGCAGGCCGCATTGGCTCCTCCCCTGTCGCTTTACCGGGGGGGTTCGTGCAGGCCGCACTGCGTCTACCTGGGCTCCCCCCCCCCCTGTGGGAGTGGGGGGGTGGGCGGTGCCCGTGGCACGACCCCCCCCCCAGCACTACCGGGGGGGGTTTCGTTGCACTAGGGGGGTTTCGTGCAGCCCGCACCGGGTGCCGCCAGCGGCTTAGAACACCACCCCCTTGCCGCTTTACCGGGGGGGGTTCGTGCAGGCCGCATTGGGTCCTCCCCTGTCGCTTTACCGGGGGGTTTCGTGCAGGCCGCACTGCGTCTACCTGGGCTCCCCCCCCCCCCCCTGTGGGAGTGGGGGGGGGGGAGTGGGGGGTGGGTTGGGGGGGGGTTGGCGGTGCGCCGTGGCACGAACCTCCCCCTCCAGCACTAGCACTACCGGGGGGTTTCGTGCACTACCGGGGGGGTTTGTGCAGCCCGCACCGGGTGCCGCCAGCGGCTTAGAACACCCCCCCCTTGCCGCTTTACCGGGGGGGTTCGTGCAGGCCGCATTGGGTCCTCCCCTGTCGCTTTACCGGGGGGGTTCGTGCATGCCGCACTGCGTCTACCTGGGCTCCCCCCCCCCCTGTGGGAGTGGGAGGGTGGGAGTGGGGGGTGGGTTGGGGGGGGGGTTGGCGGTGCGCCGTGGCACGACCCCCCCAGAGGTCCTTGGGAACCACGAAGTGGTTCCGGACATGTTCGTTCTTCATGTAAGAGCGAATTTTGGTTCCGGATCGATATTGTTACACAGAATGGTTCCGGAGTTATATTTTGGTTCCGGGAAAAAATGCATATAAACATATGTATACATAATTATGATTCGGCACGTGCCGATATATAGTGTGTATATATATATATATATGAATACAATGCATATATATATATATGTATATAGATATATACATATACATATATATATATATATGTATATGTATGGAACTCCATGTGTGCATGCCATATGTGCATGTCTGGAAATCCATGTATGGAAATGTGTATATATAAATGCATATGTATATATATACATATATACATATGCAT